AATTTTTTTTTTTTAATAGATGAGTTATATAATAAATAATCTTAGAAATTTATCGGTTTTGGGAAAAATGTATGGTAAACAACTTAATAAAATATATTGAATAATATTTAATATGAAATTGGTTTGTAAGAAATTTCTATTCTTTATATCCACAATAAATCTCAACATTATCTTTCAAGAAACCTTCTTCCCAATTTAATTCGTTATGCGAGATTTTATCAAGCTTCCAACCTAAACCCTTTAAGCCATTAAAAAAGAGGTTGTCAGATCTCGTAGCACGCGATTGATGGGAAAGTATGAGTTTAGTATACGAAGGTGTTGATAAAGCTATCGATTAATTAATTAATAACTCGAAATATGTTAGGTCAGATATGTATTTTAATGATACTTTACCATCAATGGTTTCAATTAACGGTTTAATCAAGTAATCAACCCATACAATATCAGCTCCCAAGATATAATCCCATTGATCATTATTTAAAATTTTTAGATATTCTTTTCTAATTGAAATAGAGAATGCATTTTTTTTTTTTTTTTTTTTTTTGTGAAAAAATGATATGAATATGTTTTAATTATTCACCCATTCATCCAATCCAAAGGTTCAACTTTTACAGATTTATTAAATAACCCATTCAATTCAATGGTTTTTTTTATTTGAGGAATCACTTGTGGCACATCTGTTATCGTGACATGTTTTGCGCCTAGGATTAAAGAAGTTAGTGATGGAATTGATTTCCCAGATCCCTTTAAAAAGTTAGAATTGTAAAGTATTTAACGTTAATCAAAATTGAAATATTTTTTTTTTAAACAGTGATTATTATAAAAAATATATTATATTTATACTTACAAGTTCAATAAATCTTTTTTCTTTAAAATTGATTTTATTTTGACGAAATTGTTTCTCAAGAAATTTTGAAAGAATCAAACTCTTGAGATTTTAGTTTAGTTTTTTTTTTTTTCTTTAGCATCAATATTCTCAAATTAAAGAAATGGGTAAAAACAAAAATTAAATTATATTACAGCATCCCAAACACTTGTGGAGGTATAGATAGTGTGTTCCAGCGGTTCATGATTTAATAAATTGTCGAGATTACATTCATCCTCTTCATTAATATTAAAACCAGGTTGATAATATAAATAGATTGGCTGATTATTTATAATGAATCTTTCCGACAAATGGAAAGAAGCATTTGACGAAAATTCGAAATTAAAGAATGGAAATTTTGGACCTTCGATTAATAATAGTGACATTGATGAAGTAGCGACGAGGTATATCGATATTATTTTTTGTATTTATAATGATTAACGTTAATGGATTAGTATTAAAACAATCACGAGTCTATAGACGAACTTTGATTGGTTTAACACGCGTATAATATCTTGACATGTTTTGCAGATCCAATTAAGATTTTTTTCTTCACTCTTCTTTCTTACTTTGCAGATATTATATCGAACTTAAACTTTTGGTGAGTATGAAGTATTTGATCTCAATTATTTTATAAGCACTTTGGATATCGCTCCTAGGTTTTAGGTTACTTATAGCACTTACACACTTTTATTTTTTGAGATTTATTTCTATCAACGTTAAAATTAAGTCACGACGATTTCAAACTTTTGGTGAGTATAAAGTATTTGATTTTAATTATTTTATAAGCACTTTGGACATCGCTCCTAGGTTTTAGGTTACATAGCACTTACACTCACTTTTATTGAGATTTATTTCTATCAACGTTAAAATTAAGTCACGACGATTTCAAACTTTGGTGAGTATAGAGTATTTGATTTTAATTTTTTTATAAGCACTTTGGACATCGCTCCTAGGTTTTAGGTTACATAGCACTTACACTCACTTTTATTTTTGAGATTTATTTCTATCAACGTTAAAATTAAATCACGACGATTTCAAACTTTTGGTGAGTATAGAGTATTTGATCTTAATTATTTTATAAGCACTTTAGACATCGCTTCTAGGTTTTAGGTTACATAGCACTTACACTCACTTTTATTTTTGAGATTTATTTCTATCAACGTTAAAATTAAGTCACGACGATTTCAAACTTTTGGTGAGTATAGAGTATTTGATCTTAATTATTTTATAAGCACTTTGGATATCGCTCCTAGGTTCTAGGTTACGTATAGCACTTACACTCACTTTTATTCTTGAGATTTATTTCTATCAACGTTAAAATCAAGTAACGACGATTTTAAACTTTAGGCGAGTATGGAATATTTGATCTCAATTATTTTATAAGTACTTTGAATATTACTCCTAGGTTCTAGATTACTTATAGCACTTACACTTACTTTTATTTTTGAGATTTATTTCTATTAACGTTAAAATTAAATCACGACGATTTTAAACTTTTGGTGAGTATAGAGTATTTGATCTTAATTATTTTACAAGCATTTTGAATATCGCTTCTAGGTTTTAGGTTACTTGTAGCACTTACACTCACTTTTATTTATTTCCATCAACGTTAAAATTAAATCACGACGATTTCAAACTTTTTGTGAGTATGGAATATTTGATCTTAATTATTTTATAAGCACTTGGATATCGCTTCTAGGTTCTAGGTTATTTATAGCATTTACACTCACTTTTATTTTTTTTTTTTTGAGATTTATTTCTATTAACATTAAAATTAAGTTACGACGATTTTAAACTTTAGATAAGTATGGAATATTTGATCTCAATTATTTTATAAGTATTTTGAATATCACTTCTAGGTTCTAGGTTACTTATAACATTTATATTTGCTTTTTTTTTTTAGAAATTTATTTCTATCGAGCATGGAATATTTGATACCAGTTATTTTATAAACCCTATTCGCACTTTTTTTTTAGAGTTACTTTTATAAACGTTAACTATTAAAGAAATTAAATCATAACAATTTAAACTTTAGTATAAAGTATTTGACTTGTTATTTTATAAATGCAATACTTTGGAAATCGCTTCTAGGCCCAAGTTATTTATGAACTTTTTTGAGATTTTACTTTGCAAATTTTCGATGAGCATAGAGTATTTGATTTAACTTTGTAAGCTATGCTAAATTTAGTGGTGATAATCACCGCATTGTTTATAACAATAAATTTGCTAGAGTTGTTCTTTTGGAAAAATTATGAAAGCAATATGTTTATTAAAAGTGAAAGATTAGGAACAGGCAATTTTTCACAAGATACATTTTAAAATTTTTGCGGTTATTAGTCGTGATATATCACTTTAAAGACAACCTAAGTAAAATTAAAATAATAACTTGATTTATATAAATTTATATTGTTTAATAATAAATTAATAGCTTTAAAAAATTGACATTATTAAGAAAATGTCGATGAAGCGTATGCTAAGATCCATTTAGTATTCGTAAGAGTGTATTTAAGAGCTTTTGTCCAAGTTTCGAATTGGTTGAATTGTAACCTTATTGACGCGTCACCAATTTTATCCTTACTGATCCTAATAAAATAAATATGCCATTAGTCATACGAGGCTCTAACGTTACTATTAAAAAATAAAAGGTAAAACAATTCACCGATATGGTAATTTGAAATTATGTTCTTGACGCTCAGCGTAGTCACCCAATTGTTGTAAACAATTTAAAAAAGCAACCATAGCATGATCAAACCGGCGATTTAAAAACAATCTTCCTATTGCTATATCTCCTGAGCCATACCTAAATATGGTAATGAATTTGTTAAAAATTAGGTAATAAATATGTTTGTTTAAATAATGACTTACAATTCATAAGTGGTTTTCTTTTCACCATCAATATGTTCAATCTTAGAGAAAGAACCCAATGGAATTAATCGATAACTAAAATATTTCTACAAGTTAGTCAATATAGATTTTTATTTTTATTTTTTTATTTTTTTTTAAAAAAAAAACGAAAAAACGTATCGTACTTTTTGAATGTAAAATTAAGTTTGTTGGCAATAGTTGCCAGTAATAAAAGTGTCTGCCCCCAGGCTGCATTAATTTCGTTCCAATCGACCTTGTAATTTATTAGAAGATAAATATTATTTTAATTAATACCTTAATTTTCAAGGTTGAAAATAGAATGATGATATTATACCATCACATCCGGTAAGCGACCAAGTCTAAAACCATTAATCGTTCCAAAATTACCATCATGACTAATACCGAAAGTGTCATTATATACATTGGTCCTTTGAAGTTTTTCCAACTGTTTTGCATCATGATCATATTTTAAATTGACACTATCTCTCTCGTTTTGAAAAGCTTGTAGTTGAATATGAAAATCGTTGAATTCCTGCCAATAACTAAAATTTACAATAATATAAGTATTCAAAGTATTTTTATCAAATTTAAATTGATATTAACAGGTCATATACCTTTCTTCAAGTTTATCAAGTTCTCTAGCCTCTTCTTCTAATGTAGCCAATTCTTTCTTTAATGCATCACGATCACATTCTATATCTTTTAACGTTTTAATAGCAGCTAGTTCACCGGATCGTATCTATCAAACCTTTTATAATTAATACCAATCGACAAACATTCAACTATTTGTTTATTTTTAATACTACCTCTTGAATTTCTTTTTGCAAATTCTCTTGTTCAGCGTCACTTATAACGCTGACATTAATTTTCTTCAAAAAATCTATATAACAATCTCTTTCTCGAGAAGCATCAGTCAGTTGTTTGCTTAAACTATCCAAAAGCATATCAGTGCATTCTTGACACATGGGATGGTCTATTTCGGATCTGGATGACATAAGATCAAAAAGACGGTTGGCGACTTTAAGTCTATAGCTAATGCTGGCTCTTTGCCTGTCATCGTTATTCGTATCTATGGTACCGTGTTCCGGTGATACTTGATTGTTCAGAGGCTGTGCCACTTGTGAACGTGATAACATTACATAAGATTCTGATGGTAACAAGAAAGATTCCTTAGTACTGATATCCCTGTTTGGAGATCGTGATAATCCGAGATTCTTTGAAGATCCTGATCGTTTATTTGGCACCAAAATCCCATTCTGATCGATGTTATTAAAAATTGCTTGCTTAGAGCTTTTATTAATTTCCGAAGTTTCAGACCGTCGATCTACTGTCGTTGAGTCTGGTGTACGAACGACCTCTTCAGAAAGTGGTGCTAAGAAATTTGATTGGGGATCGGTTAGGTTCGAATCAAAATGGTTATTAAACGAGGAATAACATACTACCTAGTAAGATATCAACTGAAGTCGTACCAAGGTCTACGAGTGTATCGTCAATCCTTAGGGTATGCTTACAACGCTGACATGTAAATACTTGAGATTGTTCCATATTGAAAAGAGAATGTATTCCTGAAAAGTGTGCGTACGATGATAATCTTTAATTATCACAGTAATACAATCACCACGATCTACCTATCAGAATATTTCTTTATATAAAATGAAAATCTGATCAAATCATTCCTCCCCTTTCTCACCGCTTTTGTCATCTACTAGGATGGTGAGTTTTTTTAAAAAATTAATCATTAAATTAGTAAAAAATTTTTTTTACTCACAAGCAAGGCTGAATTATCGATATCAGCAAAAGGAGACTTTATAATAAATTATGTGGCGAATGTGCATGTCTTTAGTAAACTTTTTTTTTTTTTCTTGCAAACTATTATTTATAAATAGTCTGCGGTAAGACCTCGAATCAGTGTTTACTCTGAAGCTGGAGATGGATGTATTTCTACTCTAGTACTTCCCGCAGTGTTCAAAGCTCCAATTCGACCTGATATTGTAAGATTTGTTCATACAAATATCTCAAAAAGTAACCGTCAACCTTATGCGGTATCATCAAAAGCCGGTCATCAAACATCAGCAGAATCTTGGGGTACTGGACGTGCAGTTGCTCGTATTCCTCGTGTTTCTGGTGGAGGCACTCATCGTGCCGGACAGGTTACTAGAAAATTATTTTATAAAGATAACGATTGATTAATATTATATAATAACTTTTGATTTAATTATTGTAGGGTGCTTTCGGTAACATGTGTCGTGGCGGTCGTATGTTCGCACCTACCAAAATTTGGCGTAAATGGCATATAAAAACTAATCTTAACCAAAAACGATTTGCCACTGCGTCAGCTTTAGCTGCATCAGCCATCCCAGCTCTTGTATTGGCACGGGGCCATAGAATTGAAGAAATTCAAGAAATACCACTTGTAATTGGAAACGGCATTGAATCTTTAACCAAAACTAAAACAGCCGTTGACCTTCTAAAAGCAGTTCATGCTTATAAAGATGTGGTTAAAGTTTCTAACTCTCGTAAATTACGAGCTGGTAAAGGTAAACTACGTAATAGACGCCATCGCCAACGCAGAGGACCTTTGATAGTTTATAATGAAGATCTTGGTGTTGTTAAAGCTTTTCGCAACATTCCTGGAGTTGAATTGGTTAACGTCAAAAATTTAAATTTATTACAATTGGCACCTGGTGGTCATTTGGGTAGATTTATTATTTGGTCTCAAGGTGCTTTTGCTATGTTGGACGCCTTATTTGGAACTTATAAAAAGGCTGCTGATTTGAAAAAAGACTATCGGTATGTCAATTACCTAGTTATAGTCACGATCTGATCATAATAATTATTGCAATATAATCCTATGATTACATTCTTTTTTCTCATAAAAATAGTTTACCACAACACATTGTTTCCAATCCCGATGTCACTCGCCTCATTAATTCTAATGAGATTCAGCAAGTTCTTCGACCTGCTGGAGAAAAGCATCAAAAACGTCCCTATACTCAAAAGAAAAATCCTCTTCGTAATAATGGTGTAAAAATCCGTTTAAATCCTTATGCTAAGGTGTTGCAAAGAGCAGAAATTATTGCCGCTGAAAAACGAAAGGCGGGTAAAGTGAAAAAGAAACGAGTTCAATTTAAAGCTTCGACAAAGGTTTCTCCAAGGTATTATTTTTACTTTTTATTCTCTCTTTTTTTTTTTTTTGTTAATTTACATTAGTAACAGACTAAAAATTTTCTAAAATCTATTTTATTATTAGATTTGTTGAAATTTTATTGGAAAAAATGACATAGTAAATTCTAGAGAATGAACCGGGTGCAAATTTTGACACCTGGTTTCTTACATGATTTTGAAATCGGTTATCTGGGTGAAAACGAGTTGCATATAACACTTATAACAACCTAGAATCTCCTATAAAAAAATATGTAGTTGATGTCACTTGCAAATATAATTATGATATTTTATATATAAATTACATTTTAATGCCAAATGTAAAATAATTATAATCGTTCGTATCATGTTGGCGATAATCGTGCCAACTATCAATTACTGCATCAATTATAACTAGTAGATTAGTCATAACCAAAAATCTTGAGAATTTACATATATTGAGACAATGTGTTCC